TCCTTTCAAAATTAGGCTATTACTATTTCCATGTTATTTTACAGAAATTGACTCGAGATGTTGAAAAACACACTTCCTGAGACTAGTATTTTAGTTTCCATATGATAAAAATGTGTAAGATAGACTTGCTTGTTTGTGTGTTTTGGGTTTTTTTTTTTTTTGTTACAGTGTGTCAGGTACTGAGCTCCTCTAGTCAGAGTGTAGAGACTAAAAGTCAAAAGGTTTTTGTAGTCCTATCCCTATTTCAGAGTTAAGTGGAAGAGTTTAGGGAAAAGAACTGGGCCATGCTCTGTTGTGGCTATAAGCTGTAGAATAACCTGAAAATTGAGATGGGGTGATGGGGTAGAGGGAGATGTTCCATAAAAGTAAACTTAAAAACCTCCATTTCTTCAATCCTACTACCAGTTTCCATGCAGTGCATCTGACATTCTGCAGCACAGTTGGTACTTGAATTGTCAGTTGTCTAGTTGTTCTAAGGTTCAGTACGCAGGGTACTACTTGTGTTCATCTGCAGAGAAGTGTTCTTGAACACTCATCCTAAATACATTTTTCTTTTTCACCACTTTTTAATGACTATGAAAATCAGGGCGTTCTTGAAGGGTCTCTTGCCTTGGTAGTATAACAAGTTGTTGTTCTGATTCCAAATCCTTCTTTAGAAGGCATCATGCTCAGTGTATAAGCTGAGGGGAGTTGGCTGGGGAGAACGGCTGCTCAGGGATGGGCTATGATCAGGAGATCATTTTGTTCTGTATGGGTAACTATCTCAGCCACCTGTGTTCAGAATAAGCAGGGTTTGCTTCAAACAGAAAGCGGATTTATATCTAGATCCTCTCTACTGAAAAATCCTCATTTTTATCAACTTTTAGAGGTTGTTGCTGACAAGCTCATAATAACAGTTAAGTTTCCGCAGTATCTTCAGTAAACTTGATTTAAGAAACAATTAAATTCCTTTATCATCCCTTAATAAATATAAATGATGCAAAAGCGAAAGCCCTTAGTGATTCATAGCGGATACTAGTATATAGCTTTAAAAAAACCCAAAAATCGCATACAACTCAAAATTATCACAGGTTCACTTTGAGATTTAGACCAGGATGTGTTCTGTCAGTTGTTTTGTGAAGATTTTCTAATTTCTCTTCCAGAGAAAAGGTTTTTCAGCTGGTCTAAAATGTATTCATTTTACTCTCAAAGAACAAGAATGAAGAAATTTATGTTTAACAACTTTAAAATGAGAATAGATGTGTTTCTTTGTCCTGTATGCTACTAGTGTGCTAGCTTATTTGGATGCTCTTTCAGGAGTTCAAAACAAAAATTAAGTGCAGAAATTACATTATTGAACTTTCCATTTTTTCCTGATAATTATGTAAATCTCTGGCAAAGAGTATTTATCAGATAAGTGTGCTTCCTTCAGTTACTTTTACCTCAAAAAGTAGAGAATTACTTATTGAATATTGTGGCCCGTATCTTGAAGTAAGGCTGTTTCTGAAACACTCAAAATATGACACAATCTTCTGTTCTGAATTTAGTAAGCAGAATACAAGGGAAAGGAGTTTAAAATAATAGCTCTGAGATTAATTTAAAGAAAATGAACATTTGCATTGGAAAATGTAATAACTTCGTTAATGCCATCTAGAGAGCAGTCATTTAATTACTGTTTAATTGAAACCAATGTAATCATCTGCCTAAGCAACCTTACTTTTAGCATTTTCTCTTCTGTATTGTTATCACCTTTACGGTTATTGGAAAGAATTTCTACTCAGATGTATCACTATATTGTTTAATAAATAGGTGGAGGTTGTAGCTCAGTAGTGTGTATCCTGTACTCCAAGATACAGATTGTCCTCGTACTTGGGAGGGACAGTTCGGAGCAGGTAGAGTATGTGTCAACAGTGGTACTCAATATTCAGAAGAAGTATAGAATACCCTTGTGTGGTTGGTCATCTCAGGACTTAGAGACTGAAAATTAGTTCATATTGAATCAGCACAATATATTGGATTTTTAGAAATGCTGAACAGGCTTCCCCATAAACGTGGGTTGGTCAGGTTCAGCAAGAGTTATGTGTTGTACATTCATCACTGTAGCACTAGTCATGGAGTGAAGAATGGAGTTGTGCCCCTTAGGGGTCAAGTGCCACAATACACATCTTATTTGGAAAGCCTTGGTCTGGCAGCCTGGAGGAAAGTTGCACTGAAACTTTAATATCAATTCAAGAAGATCAGAGAGAGGGAAAATTGGGAGAAAATTATACTCCAGCTGTGTTCTAACCACAGACTGGTTAAGTCCCAGGACCTTTTTGCTCAGACAGGAATTTGTGTCGTGGAGTCATCCCTTTAACAGACTGTAATAACAAAAGATAATTCTTATTAGTGTACTTAAAAACATGACTGAGAGTCAGAATAGCTGAAGAGGTTGCAGTAAGTGTGGCCATAATATCTGTTACATCTTTAGGTTTTGGAGTAACCATTCGTGGGCTCTTCATTTATAGTGCTGCTCTGTGAATTAAGGGAGTTTGCATCTTGGGTTTGTTTAACAGACAGGAGAGCAGTTTGTGCTCTGTAAAGGCTACAAGCTGAGCAAGTTCTTCCTGTTAATTTATTTACCTTTGGCTAACCAAGAACTGCAGCTGGTTTTCAACGCAAGTGATCACATTATCATGTTAAGATGAGCATTAGGTATAACAAAAATGATCAGCTGCCTTTGCCTCTGGCTATTCATAGCACTGGGTCAGTGCTTCAGCAGCTTAACAGCCTGACAAGGAATTGCCCCTGGACTAGCACTTTCTTTGGAAGCTCTTGTATCCTCTTCTGCCATTATTAGGCCCAAGTAGATATTACTACTTGCATTTATACCACAGTGTTCTCCTTTTCCTATCATATTCTCCTTCAAGGATTTCCATGAGTGTTTTTCTTTGCTATTAGAATAAGGGAAATAATTTTATTTTGGTGCATAGCTATTCTGAAAAGAAAGACTTTGTTCTATCCCAGACACATGGAGGCTTTGCATTCAAGATTGTCTGTAATTCTTTTTCTATGGTTCCTCTGCTGAAAATACCAGACTTTTTTTAGATTTTTTAATAACTGTGTGTCCAACAGAAAGTGGGATTCAAATGTTCTCTTTTCTGGGTTTGTCATTCTTCTCAGAGAACTGAAACTACTCAGCATCTGTCAATATTTGTGGCCTGTTTAAGAAAACAAGAAATTTGTGTTTATTCATATCTAGGCAGATCATGTGCAAGTTCCAGATGGAAACCAAGAGAGGTAATTGGGAAGATTTGGTCAGTGCTTCTGGTGAAAATAACCTGGTGCTGACCTACACACAACACAGGTTTATTCTATTTCCTGTAGCCAGCAGTGGCCTGTTAGAAGTCAAGTCACTTAGGGAGGTTGTCTGTATATCATGTTCTTTAGTCCTGACCTGTCTGAGAGTATGTGGTGGTGTTAGGTGATGGGTGTTAGGTTTCATTTATGGCTGTTACCATGGCATTATACAAGATAACATATAATGTGAATGAAGTAGTCATTCAGCAATAATGTGGATGAAGTGGTCATTATCCCGTGCTGTGCTGTGTATGAATTCACTGGTAGCTAGGCGGTTTAGACTTCAGGGGGAATGGTGTTCTCAGTATTATCCCCATTGATGGTGTCTGTGACGGGTGCTTGAGAAGTAAGTTGGAGTACCCATTTGAATCTCTCTGAATTATGTTACCTCCAAGGGTTTCTAAGTTTTAAATTAATGATTCAGTACTGAGGACTTTCAAGTCTTAAAGTATTATAGTCTATTCTAAAGAACTCTGGTTGGCATTACACTCTCGCTAAGTAGGTAGTATTTTCTCTTTTTTCCCATTTGTATGAAGGCACTGAATTTTTGAAAATGACAACATCTAAGGATATTTTGTCCCATTCCTCTTACTGGCAGGACAGGCATTCAGTGTTCTCAGATGGCGGCTAGAAGTCATATCTCTGTGTTGGATTTAGTTTGTCATGTTATTTTCTTAGATCATATAGTAGTAACATTCTAAACAAGCATAATTTTATGCTCAAGAAACTACACTTCTTACCTATATTGGAATAGTCTTTAATTTACTTTAATATCAAGACAGTAATCCTGACTTCCATTGTTCAAGAAAGCCAGTGAGATCAATGAACTTATGCAATGAAACTGAATTGATTCAGCAAGTCAGTCTTAGAATTCCATTTGATTCAGTCAAACTGCTTTTCCAGTCTTCTTGAAAACACATTCCTTTCTGCAAAACAAAATCGTAGAATCCTAGAATATCTCAACTTGGAAGGGACCCATAAGGGTCTTGTTGTCCAACTCCCTGCTCCTCACAGGACTACCTAAAACTAAACTGTATGACTAAGAGCATTGTCCAGATGCTCCTTGAACTCTGAAAGGGTTGATGCTTTCCCGGAGGGTGGAGGAGGAAAATAAAACCAAAACACAAAGCTTTGGTATGTTATCTTGTTCAAGTCTAGTCCTACAACATTTCTTTTTCTTTGTGAAAGTTCCTTTGTAACTCAGTGTTGATGTAGGACAGATTGTAGAAGTGACAATTCTGTATGTGCCATAAAGCAACTTTTAAATTAGCTACTTGTAGCTTTCTGAATGTAGATATGTTTTCGAAGTTTATTAGAGAGACATTGGCAGTAGATATAATAATCTTTCTGTCTAATATTTTGTTTAATGTTCTCTCATTTATCCCGGCTTTTGAGAAAAAAGAAAAGCTTGTTAAACTAGTTCACATTTCTTAGTATCAGAGCATCAGTCACCAGTTTGCAGTCTTGTACTCTTCTGATAACAAATTACATTAAACAGGGCTATCTAAGCTAGCTGATAGTCTGCTGGCTGTGCTTCAGGAAAATGGGTGGATTTAATATTTGTTTTGTGGCTTCCCTTAACTTTAGGTGGATTTTTGTTCTATAAAATGTGTAAAGTTTATGTGTGCATTTCATTTATTGAAATGACTAATAAAGGGTACAAACGCTTTCTTATTGTACAGGTCAACAGCAAGGACAGGATGGAGTAAAAGTACAGCAAGCCACCATAGCTCCAGTTACTGTTGCAGTAGGTGGCATTGCTAATGCTGCAATTGGTGCTGTGAGTCCTGATCAGATAACACAAGTGCAGCTGCAACAAGCTCAACAAGCTTCTGACCAGGAAGTGCAACCTGGCAAGAGATTGAGAAGAGTTGCCTGCTCGTGTCCTAATTGCAGAGAGGGAGAAGGAAGGTAAATGTAAATTTTGTCAGTACATATTTGGACTTCCTATCATGGTCTGGCTCATTTGGGCGTGATTTTCGTACATTGCCTACATTTTTTAATGCTTTCTATTAGTAAGTATGTTTATATATTTCTTTTTAGACAGAGGATCGTAATTGTCTCTATTAGCATGAAGTATTTTTCCTAATAATTAATAATCTTTTAGCATATAACTACTCACCAGTTTAAATTTGATCTTTTTAGAGGCAGCAATGAGCCAGGAAAAAAGAAACAACATATCTGCCATATTGAAGGATGCGGAAAAGTTTATGGCAAGACATCTCATCTTCGAGCACATCTGCGCTGGCATACTGGTGAAAGACCATTTATATGCAACTGGATTTTTTGTGGCAAGCGATTTACAAGGAGCGATGAGTTACAAAGACACAGAAGAACCCACACAGGTTGGTCAGACCTCTCTGTAGGTATAGTACAGTGAGTCTGAATCGTAGTGGCCATGGTTAAACAGTGATATCAAAGAGCTCATGTACTAGGATCTATGAAGAGTACTTCTAAAGGTAAAAAAGTAACGTTAAAACAGAGGAAGTGGTAGATTTCTGTTTTTATCGATACAGGCTGACTGTGAAATCAAATAAATAAAATGAGATCTGTTCAAACTGTTCCTCTGTACCTGTGCTAGAAGATGATGACCATTTCGTCGCAGATAGCTAATGTACATTAGCTGATGCATGGTCTGAATTTGGCAAATTTCTTCAGCACGTAGATTGGGCATGGACCAGCATTGGCACGTCCTCACTTGGACTAACTCAGTCCTTTCGAAATTTATAGACCTTGTCCATACATCAGATTTTATGTTCTTGGGAAGTTTCTGGAAATTTCAAGTGACGTATAATAAAGCAAGTCCTCCTTACAGTTCAGATTGGAAAGGTAGACCTCTTAGAAACTGAATATTTTATCAGCCTTTGTATTTGTAGCCTCAAGAAGGTGTTGTGTGTCCGTCCCTGTCGTCTCCCCCCTGTCCCCTCCCCGCAGCTTCACAGCATCAGAAGATAGCACTTGAAGTATAAGCACTATACATTTGCACAGTGACAGGACTTTTTAGTATGGCGAATTTATCTCTCTTGACATAGCATATATCCTCATGGAGCTTCGGGATTCATGTTTCCAAATTCCCGTGTCACCCCTGTAATCTAAGTCACAAAAGTATGCTTAAAACATGCTGTCGGGTAGTGCTTTCCGGCCTTTTACCTCTCCTACTCTGTCAGGTTTATAGAAGTTTATGAAAATTCTCTGGTGACCTGAAATTCAAACTTCCTGTCAGATAATCACATGATAGCACATACTTGTTGAGAATGTTTTAGTAGTGAAGAGGGGTTTGCCAAAAGCCTGTGACCTGGAAATTGGACAGGTAGAGAAGACAACATTGTCTCCTTTAGATGATGATCCAGATGTTTAGCAGGAGACGGTCAGATTGAAAAGATCAAGCAAAAAGTGTTCAGTACTCTCTTTCAGTAACATTTTGGTTTTGTTTTTCTTTTTTAAAAGGCGAAAAGAGATTTGAGTGCCCAGAATGTTCTAAAAGGTTTATGCGAAGCGACCATCTCTCGAAACACGTCAAAACTCATCAGAACAAGAAGGGTGGTGGAACAGCCCTTGCTATTGTTACCTCAGGAGAACTGGACACTTCAGTTACTGAGGTTCTTGGTTCTCCAAGAATTGTCACTGTTGCTGCCATTTCTCAAGATTCAAACCCAGCAACCCCTAATGTTTCAACAAACATGGAAGAATTCTGAAAGGATCGTTTTTATGGACGCCTAGTGCTGCACTTAAGTTTACATACCTTTCAGGATATGGAAGTGGGCTGGTAAAGTGGATTACAGAGCAGGAAATCATGTTTTCAGTCGTGACTTCTGTAAGTGTTCCAGGTTGGAGGGTCAGCATGGGAAGTGTACACCGGTGCAACAAGACACAAAATTCAAAAATACAAACAGCGCAAATTGATGTACTGGATAAACAGATGGGGGAATATTATTTCCATACTGTACTTTTTTAGTTCTATGTCTGTATATCATGTAATGTTTTTAAATGGACTTCCCCCCCTCTTTTAGCATTGTATGTTAATGTGTTTATAAACTGAGATAATATCAATGTAAAACAGGGTGGACCGTGACTAGGTTTAATATCATTTGATTGAAGTACTTTGTTTTTAAAGTAAATTTGTAATATTTTCATGTTTTCAAAAAACATCCTTTTCCCATAAGGCACAGCAAAACCAACTACAGATTGAACGATAGTGGAAATAGTTTAGGTTTTCGCTCAGTCCATAGAACACGTCATTTTGGCCGTCTTTTCTCAAGTTTTGGAATTACTCAGACAGCAGCTGGGTGGTGCCTGCTGCAAAGTCGTTCTGAGGTGGACCTCAGATTAATTTTGACCACTACATTATAGTAGTGTGTATAAATGACAATCAGTGAGTTATAATTCCTCTCTTTGTTTGGAGAGCTAAGGTTACGTAGAAGTAGTGTATACAGTAGGAAAGATAAAACCATAGAAAGGTATTAATGTAAGATTTTGCAAAAGTAATGGTATCTTACATAGGATGAAAAATGAATATGGCCACTTTTGTGTCAATTTTTAGTATTTAATTTCTTTGTATTTTAAATGCTCCATTTCTAACTTGTAGGTAACATGAATCATAAACTCAGTCTTAAATACTTAAATGTTTTAATTTTGTTAGAGTTCATGGAAATTAATCAGACAACTAAGTGTTGTAGCTCGTTCTCCAGTATCTTCTCTCTGTAAATACTAGTTATATTGTGGTTAATGTGCCGAGTTCTTTATACTTTGACTTAATAGCCAAAGAAAAGAATTAATTATCACATTTTCACCAAAAAAGGTATTGAAAGTAAACATTTTCTCTCTTTTCCCCTAAATATTACTGTCTTATTTTCTCCTCAAGGATAGTATGTGAGCTGGTAATAAATACGTTACCTGTCAAGTCTTACATTGAGCCTCCAACCACAAAACAAACTGAGGAAAGAGGAATATAGTTACCTTTTTACTACATGACTTTTGATTTCAAAGGTTTGGTTGCATTTTCGGATGTGCTGGTTTAATAGGAATATAGAGGAAAAGGAAAAACGACGACAAAAAACCAAACTACATCTTATATGTGGAAGCTTCAGTAGGTACAGGAGGAAAGATGGCCAAATATTTCATACTCAGGATTTTTAATTACTTCCCATAGGCATAAATGTAATCTTTTACACATACGGTCATTTGGTAACAATTCTTATGGCTAGTTTTTTTAAAAACTTATACACCAAAATGTTTTTGATGTACCTAAAGGAAGTACTGTGAAAGAAGAGTAAGTGGTAGGGTTTTTTTGGTTTGGTTTTTTTTTTGTTGGTGGTGGGGGTTTGGGTGTTTTTTTTTTTTCACTGCAAATTACAAAAGGAGGAATGTGTTTGGTAGCTGTTGGTTTGAGAGATGTAACAGATACCTTGTGCATTGCCTCACAAAACATCTACTTCTCATCTGAAGATTTTATCAATCTTGTGATGTTTTCTGTATTTTTGAAGCAAGAGAAATACCAATCATTGTTTACACTGTGTACACTTTAGGCCAGCCCTTTGTAGCAAAATACTAAGCTGAAGGTATTTTATACTTTCACTTTACATAAAAAGCTTTGAGATTAAAGAAAAACAATTTTACACTGTGGTTATAAATTTCAAGTTTCTTAAAGCTTTTGTAGACTTGTAACAGAGTCTTTAAATTTTAGTTGGGTTTTGTACATTATTTTGTATATTTTATTTAAAGTACTCTTAACTGATGTGTCTGGATTTAAAACATCAGAATCAATTAGATGTTACATTTAATACAGATGAACATTAGGTAGGATTAACTGTTAATTTTATTATATAGAAAATGAAACGTCAAATATATATTTTATCATTATGCTTCACAATCAGTGCTATAAATTTCTTTATGCAAAGAAAGAACTTTCCTAATGTTAATACCATGTTTCCTAGAAACTAACAAGTTTTGTAAACTGAAGTTATGAGCATTCTGCACAACCATTTCATATATAATTTTTTCATGCATACGTCTGTATGCAGATAGGAAACAAGTAATTTTTAATCTGCAATGAATCCCTATTATAGATGTATCAAAATCTAAATCTGGTTGGCTTCGTAGCATCTCAAGTACATTAACTTGTGTTAGCAGGTGCACATTTTACCGCTGAATTAGAAACATTTTGACAGTCTGTTCTGCATACCATTCTGAATCCACTTTTCTGTCTTAAAAGGATCGTAAATCTCCATGTCCTTTATTTGACTCAGTGGGATATAGCCGTTGTAAGTAATAGGGCACAGATGTGCGGTAGTATCTTGTTTAATGGCATTTCACTGTTCATTCCCTTTGCCACCGTTAAAAATTTTGCTTTATTGTAATTATCAGTGCAAAGTGTATTTACCATGGTAGAACTCCAGTGTTAGAATAGGGTTTTTTTCTTACAGTATACTTTCTTTGGTTAGGTTTGTGTATGTGTTGCCGATTACATTAGAAATTGGTGTTAAGTCATTATTTATCATGTTCTTTCACGAGAGCAGTAATAAAAGTGTGTAATCTAGGAGAAAAAGTTAATTTGTCAAAGTTAGGTAAGCATGATGTTTAGGTCCTATTTTTCAATTTTATAACTGTTTTATTGCAACAATATTTGTATTTAAGTCTTCATTTTAATGCCTTGTGGTGTTTTTTTATGCATGTCACTGAATTGTCATCCTGCGAGAATTGATGTGCAGCATAGGGTATTAAATCTACATAATGATTTTGAAACAGAAAAATAGTTGATGGTAAAAATGTAAATGTTTTGCAAAAAATCCTTATAAAAAAGTTTTGTAGTAATATTTCACTTGTAAATTTTTCTAAAAAAAAAAAAATGGAAAAGGAAAAAAATGAGAGTAACATTTCCCCACATCTAGAATTTAGAAATTAATTCTGCCAGCAAAGCCTATAAGGCATTAATTTGACACTTTTACAATGCTGATTTGTATAATTTTTTGGTGGGTTTGGAACTAAAATCATGTACAAGTTGTTGCCTGCAATAACATTTTGCAAGTAACCTATTAAAATTCCCTTGAGTTTAAAAGGTTTCTTCATTTAATTACTTACAATATAAAGCAGCAATAAATTATGTTTGAGTGATAATCTCTTCATCAAGAAGAACACTAGAAAGCAAATGCTTCTCAATGGGGAAAGGTTGGCAGCAGCTTCTGGATTTGTGTTGTAATTAAGACCTGTACTTGCTGGTCAGCGTTTCCCAACTGGCAGACTCCCAGCAGGGAATTAAACCAGCAGATTCTAGCTCAGCATGAATTCTGTGGGGGTTTGTTCAGCTCTTGCGAGTGGAAGTTAACGGTTGTTCCTGAACATACCAAAGGAAAAACTTTTCCAAGGTAAGGAGTATGAACACACAGGCACACACATAAAAAATTTAAAATTAAAAAAATATATATTTTAGTTTGAGAGAGAAAGAAATAATCCGAGTATTGCGATTGTTTTGCCAACAGGGAATGAATAAAGCAAATATATGGAAACCTGAAAATACTGGATTCCTCTCATACAAAATGTATTGGGCTGTTCTTGGCAAAATGTAAATGGGCTCCTGCTTTGTGTTCTACTAAAGTAACGTTGATGGTGTACTAAATTGCTAACTACAACAGAATACTAATTTTTTAATTGTTAAAAGAATTTTGATGGTAAGCCTTACAGTACTTTTGCAGTGGACAAGTAGTAGTAGTTCACAAAGAAATGAATATGAAGAAGACCACTTGCTTGTTCCATCTTCCCAAAGGTGGAACTTCAAGTTTGTGGCTTCTAGCCTTGTACTGCAAGACAAAATAATCCTAATTGAGACCTAAAATCAGTTATCTTTGCTTTATGTTTGACATACCTGTTTTAAGTCTCATTATCTCTGTTTGAATGCAGTGATTCTCATGTCAGACAAACTTACTAAGTGAAGTCAGACTGCCGTAATCCAAAGTAACTGCACCTGACCAGCTGATAGGTCTTTATTGCCCAGTTCTTCAGTATTGTGGCAGTGGCATTTTTATTGTGAATTACAGAATACATGGACTTTTGAAGCAGTTTCTGGATTATTGATGAGAGCAATCCTCCACTTACACAGCCACCATTGCAGTACAATATCAGAAATGGTAACAAAATTTATCATAAAGACATTAAGGTTGAATATGCATATTCCATTTTACCCTTTTAATCCTTTAAGGTGATCGTTCTACTCTGTGAAACAACATATGATATCAAATTGAGTCATTTCTTCTACAACAGTACTATTACTAATAATTTAATTAAATTTAATGTTTATTCCGTTAGCTTAATTTTATGCCCAACAAGGTAGCAAACACTAGGGTGTTGTTTTCTATTTGTAAAATTTGTATGTAATTCATATCGAACTTCTAGCTGTCACCCTCACTTTCTTACAGTCTCTGTGTCCCTGCTTCCTCTTCCTTTTCCTCAAAGCTACTTGCACCATTTCCCAATATCCTGAGACTTGTTACCGCACATGGGAATACTGTGTGGACCAAGAGGTGGCATACGCTGTCCGTGCTTGCTGGAATAACCTCTGTGGGGAGAGGAGAGCGAGACACCTTCACTAGCAGAACTGCTTCACGCCAGAATTTGCCAGAAATCATTGCCAGCAGGTTGGTGGTGATGCCATCACTTGGTGTTTGTCAGCCGAGCTGGACATTAAACCACCACGACTGGGGAA